CGCATGCAGCCGAAAGTTTATCCTCACCGATGGAGTAGAGGTCCTGTCAGGAGCGCGCCAGGACGTCCCTGACCAGATGATGTGGACACTGACAGTCCAGACCACCGAAGGTACCGAGGTACGAAAACCCCGAGGTACGACACTGGTGACCCCGACCGCTGATCTGGTAAGAAGGCTAACAGTTCTGTTTATCTGTTTGCAATCTAAAATGGCAGAAAATCACGAGTTAGGTAACCCCATCTACACTCCCTTAAAATGCCGGTAGGTTTTGATGAAATATGGACCTGTTGGATTGCTAAAAAAGGAGGGCCATATAAGTTTAAAAAAGAGTATGAAGAAACATGGACCAGTATATGTACAGCCATGGCAGAAACTGAAGCACTGAAAAATAGTAATAGTAGTAAAAGGCCTAGGATTTTGCAACTTATGTCTATGGCAGTGAGATGGCTTAAACAGCATGCTGCACTGCTAGCCTCTCAGGTTCTAGAACTAACCAGGGACGTAGAGGAAGGAGCACAGGCAACAGAACATTGGAAGGCCCAGGCTCTGCTGGCAGGGCAACAGGCAGTCCAAACACATGATCTGCTTGAGCAGGTAAAGCAGGAAAATAAGAAATTGGAAAAAGCTATAGAAAACCTGCAAAAAAGAGAAGTGCCATCCCTGGCTGCAAAACAACTTTTAGAAACTCTGGTGCCTGAAGCTATGGGACAGAAATGGAAACAGGTAGCATTGGCTAAATTGAAAGATGGATCATGGGACAGTTGGAATGGATGTTGTACTGGGGACATGTGGAATGACCCAGGATCATCTTCCGCTGGTCCATGGGCAAGGGCTACTGCACCAAAACCACCACCTTATGAGGAGAACCAGGTTTTGGAAAAACCTCTTCCAAAACCTAGAACAGTCCCTGTAAAAGTGGGGAGCACAGTAGAAGATCAGGAGGATGAATCTGACGAAATATCCCCTGTAAATAAAACATTGAGGGAAATGGAGGAGGCCACTCAAAAGATGGAGGAAGCTCTGAAACATCCATGATCAGAAATTGAAAAAGAAAGAAGGGGAAATATAGTACCTAAAGACACAGAGAATAAATCAGGTACATCTGGAGCCAGTGCATTAACAGCCAGGCTCAACCCTTTAAAAATCAATGAGCTGACTGCCTTAGCAGGCGCTGTTGGTTCCCCTCCGTCTGAGAACTTTAATGAATTTCTGGCGTGGTTGCATAAATGTTCACAGTTACTAAACGCAGTGGGAATTGAAGTTGAACGGGACCCATTGCTAGTGCAGACATTATTGGGACCACTGAATTCGCACACTGTCGGTTTTGATGATGATATTGCGCAAATGATTAAGCGGGTAGCTCAAAAGCATTTTAAATTGTCTGGATCTATAGCTACCCTGAAAGGCTCTGCCAGACTGCCAGGAGAGGCTCCAGCCCGACTGGCTGACCGAATCCAAACCTTCCTTATGGTAACTAATGGGAAAGATGTAGAAGCATTGAAAACAGTCGTACTGGATACATTACCACCAGGTGTAGTGGAATGGATGAATGCATGGTGTGAGGATGGAGGTAAACATATCCCATGGAATGAATTGACTGAAAAGGTGGAAACAGCCATGAAGCAACAGGAGGGTACCCCACTGCATGAGCTGCAAATGCAGTTAGGACAGTGGAAAACTGAGGGACCAGGATACTCCATCTGTGGCCGTATCTGAGACTGGAAAGGCAGAGGAATGAATAGAGGTAGAAAGAGTGAGTAGGTGTCAACTGGAGTGTTGAAACAGGAACATGTGGAGTTGAAAGGAAAGATTGAAAATCATCTGAAGCAGGAAAATGAAGAGCTGAAAGGAGAGATTGAAAAGTTACAAGCCCGACTTCAGGCATGCATGCTGAGCAAAAACTCTGTGAAGGGGGAGGAGAAGCCCATGACTAAAGTTGCTGAAGCGTCTCTGTTAACCCCTAGTTTGAATGATCCTGTGGTGAGAAATCAGACTGCATAGGACAGCTCTCCCTGTAACTCAGAATGCATTTTTCAGCAGCCCATGAGTATTGATGTTTGGGGGCGCCCCCACTTATGCATCCGAGTCGGGGATGAGCTTATCGATTTTTCTATTAGATACGGGGGCTGGAATACCTATTGTAAAGATTGTTTTTGAAACATACACAGTAATTGACTCTGTACATATATAGGAAATATCAGGAGATACACAGACTTATGATGTAAAAAAGCTGCACATACTATTCAGGAAAAGTTTGCGGTATCAGGGAGAGGGAGAGAAAATCTAATTGGAGCAGAAACCATAAAGCGGTTGGGGATAATCCTGGATTTTCCAAACATGTGTATCAGGCAAGTCCGCACTGCAACTGAGGGAATGGACTGTAGGGTAACTCTCATGGGACTTGCTACTCAAACAGTCAAAGCCATAAAACTGAAGCAACCCCCTCCTATGCCAGAAGGCTGGGAATGGTGGACTGGGCAACAGACTCTCTAGATACCAGTAAGGTACAAGCCTCTAACTTAGAGGGTGATGTGCCTCCGTACATTAAGCAATATCCTACTCCCCAAGAAGCTAAGGAGTCTGAGAAGTCACTGAAGAATTAGAAAAAAGAAATCTGATCTGAAAGTGTTCGGCGCCTAACGCAGCACCTATTTGGCCTGTTAAGAAACCTGATGGAACTTGGAGATTGACTATCGACTATCGAGGGCTAAATAAAACTGCAAAAAGGGGAGCCCCAGTTGTGGCTGCCTATCCCGAACTACTAGAAATAGTCTCACCGAAAATGAAGTGGTTCACAGTACTTGATGTGGCAAACGGATTCTGGAGCTTACCTCTAGATCCAAACTCCCAATATCGGACAGCTTTTGTATTCCAAGGTATGCAATACTGCTGGAATGTTTTGCCTATGGGGTACTGTGACGCACCTACAATCTTTCACACTGCTGTACGAAATATGCTAGAAATTGCGGGCCTGTTGCTGTTTCCATGTTGCAGGCCTTGGGCCTGCTGACTCTGTTACTGACCCTCAACTTACTACAGTAGCTAGGGGCTGTTGGCAGGGAGCCAGGAGAACCAATTGGAGATGGTATTCAGATTTGAATCGGAAGATATACCTGCCTGCTGATTTTCTTTTTGTGAATTTTAAGCCAGAATTTGAGGGTACAAGATTAATTGAACTAGGCAGAACTATCATGCCTACAAAGAATTCTGGGCATGGAAATGGACTGGACCTTGAAGCATGGATCGTGAGTAGATAGAGAAATGTGTATTTAGATGCAATCAGGTTAGTTTCTTTGTTTTGCTGTTTGGTTAAACTTCTCTGTGATAAGTCCATGTGCCTTCCCCCCCATATATTACTTTAAGTTGTATCCCAGGTATGGAATTTTCTCTGTTTTAATTGTTCTTTTCTCAGTTGATTTAAAATACCTAACAACCAAGTATGCTTTATCAAGTATATCTTTTTGTTTTGTTAATCTTTTTCAAAGTGATTTGCTTCTTGTTTTCTAGAAGGTAATAGGAGATCTATGTGTGCATGCCTGAGACTGAGAGGTCAGATATCCGAGATTACAGGGTTTTTTGCCTTCTAATACAAGAGAGCTTGAATAAGAAGATCTTGGGGTACCCCTCTGGAAGAAGTTCCAAGTGTTTCTTCCTGGATTGAAGAAAGGTGGTGTGTGGGGGTTTTTTTTGTTTGTTTTTTTTTACTTGGTGGTGGCAGCCTATATACCAGAGCCAGGAAATCTGTGATCTTGGGCAGCTTTTAAGCCAAATTCTATAGAGGCAAGATATTTTTAAGGTCTCTTGTGGACCCCCATCTTATGAACTCACAGTGGGGAACAGCTTTGACACCATGCAACCTTAACTCTGTGTTAACTAGTAGAAATCAGTGATGCAGAACCAGGGTATTTAGTATAATTTCCTTATTTACACAACATATCCCAGTTCTGTTTTATGCACATGCTGTTTCCTTAAATCTTAAGGCATCACTGTCCAGTCATGAAGAAGCAACTCTTAGCATAACTGCTCAAACACTGTATTCTCTCAATCAGTCTCAGCTTAGGGCCTTTTCACCTGGGAAAATCCTACTCCAAGACACCTCATTTAGGTTCAAGTGCTTTGCAAGGTGTTATGGGCATTAACCCTGCTTTTATGAACCATCAGAACCTTAGACTGGGCTTGACTTCCCAAACAGAGGAAAATACTTAAACCTACACAATTTTCTTACCTACTCTAAGAATTAGGTACTGCATGGATATTTGAACTCATTGTATACATCATGAAACTTATACACCAGTAACGCACAACATTAGCACTTGTTGCTATAGCAATCATCATTTTTTGGAAGCCTTGAGAGAGATACTGTACTGCAAAGTTTGAGTGCCCTCAGTTACCATTGACCATAGCTATTACTGTATTTATCAGCACAGTTTAAAGGTATGTGCTGCACCTCCTTTTATTCAAAAAGAAGCAAAATCTGTTCACTCTGTAAAAATTGCATATTAATGAATACAACAGAAGAGCTGTTCCAAGTGTTCATTGCTATCCTTTACACCCCATTAAAAGGTAGAGGCTTTATTTCATTATTAGAAGTGGAATGAGTGATACAAGTTGTGAAATGTCTGTTGAATTAATGAAGTAAATAATTTGATGTATTGAGACAGCTACTATTAGTGTCTGATTAATTCCGCAAGTTAGTAACCATTCATTTGCCCTTTGCATTTGTTTATAAAATACATAATATCAGAAAAGTTGGTGTTCATTATTGTATATTCTAGAAGGAGCCAGAATATGCTAGGTACTGTCCACACACTAAGAAAGAGGATTGATATGTCATTTAGAATGTATCGTCTTAAACTCTGTCCGTTAATTGTTGCAATACAAAGGTCTGTCATATGAGTGAAGCACAAATTAAAATAATATAATCCTTGTTAGAGTCTTAAGTTTTTGCTGAAATGTCCAGTCCTTTTCACTCTAAAATATTGACCTCTTTTTTATTACAGAAACCTTTGAAATGCTTATCAAACAGGCTGAGAATTACACAAGCATGCTTTTCTGCAGCACATACAAAAACATGGCTCTCGAGGCTGCTGCCGCTGTTCAAGAGTTTTTTACGGAGCTGGGACTCTTTGTATTTGGCATAGACATTAGTACAGAAGAACTGGTGAACAGATTTTTTGATACCCTGTTTCCAATAGTCTATAATCATCTGATTAATCCTGGTCCGAAGGACACTTCACTGGAGTATTCAGAATGCATTCGAATGTCAAGAAGAGTTGTCAGTCCTTTTGGCAATGTTCCAAAAATAGTCATGGGACAAATGGGGAGATCAGTGTTATCCAGCCGTACTTTCTTGCAAGCCCTCAATTTAGGGATTGAAGTGATCAATACAACAGATCATTTGCCATTCTCTAAAGACTGCAGTAGAGCCTTACTGCGAATGCAATATTGCCCTCACTGCCAAGGAGTGGCTTTAAGTAAGCCATGTATAGGATATTGCCTGAATGTAATTAGAGGCTGCTTGGCTAACATGGCAGAAATTGACTTTCACTGGCGTGGATATATTCAGTCTTTGGAAGAGTTGTCCAGTGCAATGCATGGGTCATATGACATTGAGCATGTACTTCTGAACTTTCACTCACTTGTTAATGATGCTCTAACACAGGCTAGAATCTATGGTCCAAAAGTAATTCAACAGGTAAGCACCTATATATTTTCTGTCTTCTATGCCTATTGGAAACACACACTTGGAAACTAACTTAGAAAATTGATGGTAGATATTTGAACTATCCTATACCAATTACAGTATTTGGACCAAGAAGAGCTTTGTGCAGCAAAATAGTTGTATAAAATTGCAAGGTTTCCTTTAATTATTCACATGACGTGCTATTTTCCTAAATATTCTATTCACAGCTAAAGCAGTGTGCCATTTTTAGCATTTGCAGATTGTTTTTCAGGGTGAAAAAGCTTTTTTTCAGTTGTGGAATGAATCTGTAAACAGTTACAGTGACAATGAAAAATGTTTCATGCTCACAAAACCACAACCTGAGTTTTTTAATCTATTTTGTGAAAATTTCTGTACTCACAGTAATAGAAATAAAATACAGTTTTGTAGCTTTTTACCACTTTGTCCCATTAGCTATTATACTTTTCAGTGCACTTGCTGAATGGTCTTTACTGAGATTTCTATAACTGTTGAATAAACAAAAAAATCTGGGGTTTTGTTGAGTAAGAGTGAGTACTTGGAAGGATAAGTAATTTGTGGTGTTTTAAAATACTAAAAAGCAAAATCTATATTACATGGCACAAGCTGGGCTGGTGAAGATGTTTATTAATCTATCACATAAACTGTAACAGGTTGGAAATCTCATGGACATCATACCATAATTGAATCCCCTTATTTTCATGAACTAGAAATACAACATCTCATGTCTAATTTATATATAACTATAAAGATGGAAGGTAATAAACAACCCTTTCCTTCAGGTGCCAATAGTTTGTCTTCAATACCTTTGGCCATAAGTAGATTTATTCAAATATTTCTGTTAGCAGTGAATGTGTATTTCATTTGCAATGAGTAGCACATCATTTTTTGAGGTCACTTCAGGGGAAGAGTAACTTGCACGAGAAGCTAACTTAGCTATGAATACATGAACAGTGAATTATTTTTTAGTCCAAGAGCATTAGTTAAAGCTAATGCAGCTTCTGCAAAAGGCATGAGGCATATCTATGCCAACAAGTGTTAATTCTTACTCTGTTAGATGTATTCCATCATAGTATTTTTGTAAGTACATGTTCAGCTATAACTTTCATGGGTGCTGTCACACTCTGCTCAACAGTCATGGTGTTGTGGGTAACATAAGAACCTAGAATAGAAAGTTGTTTGTTTTGAGAGGTTGTATAGATCACTTTGTGGTTGTATGTGACTGTGGCATGGTATCATGTTACCTGCTGCTGAACTGGCTTCCACCGACAAGAGACTTATCTAACAGACTAAACAAGAGACTTCTTCAGTCTTTATCCTGCTAATGTCCACAGATAAACCACACTGGCTACTTTGGCCTGCTTGCATCTTGGAGGCAATAGCAGATGTGTTAGTCATTGGTAGCCAGGGAATGGCCTACCCCCTGAAGATTTGTCAAATTTTGTTTGCCTTTCCACTAATTGGTGGTTCAGCCAGACCTTGCAGCAGAAGAACTTTTATGAAAAAAAAATCCCAATATTTTATCCCAAATTTCTAACTAACATTTGCTCCAACGTATCTTTCCAGTTTCCAGCTGTGTCCCAGGGCTGCATTTGTCTTTGGAGAAACTTCCTTGCAATTCTGCTTTTACACTGGAGGGTAACTGGTGCCCTGTAGCTAGGCCTAGAAAGACAAAGGAAGGGACAATGTCTTCTGCTTCCTTCCCTGTGTCAAATGTTTCATGGGGGAGCTTGGTCAACTCTGTGGGCAGTTTGCAGTCTTCCCTCTCTCTGCACAGTCTATTCTGGGGAAGGTCACATCATCCTCGTTTCCTGGGCAGGAAAGGAGACACACAGGATTGGAAAGACCTGTTGTACAGGAAGGGTGCATGTACCACCTCTCTGTAGTTATACTAGACTTCAGCATGACAGATCAATGCAGAAAAGAGCAGGTCCAAGGCATGCTAATTGCTGTGGGTGTGCATGCACTTACATCTGTACAAAAGTAATTCTTCTTCCTAAGTTGCCCAAATTAGTTACAGTACTAAACAACCAAAAAATTAACTAACTCTTCCCCCAAAACAAACAAACCTCAAACAAAATCCCTCTTCCTAAATTGAATTTATTAGGCAAAGTTTCATTTAAATACTCTCAGAAGGTCTGCAGCTGTCTTAGATAAACACTATGACTGTACATCCCATTTCATGCTCCCTTGAAAAATGGAACAGAGGAACGGGTCTTTTCTGACATACCTAAAGATTGGAAAATACTGGTCTGTTGTCACTGACTGCAGGTTGCTGCACCATACCTAATGGGCTATTATTCCTAGATGCCAGTGTAGGTATTTTAATATTACAAAGGGAAACTTTATGGGAAGTTGAGGCTGTTCAGAGACCTTGGAAAAATTGTGTTACAAAACTGATTCCTACCAGCACTACAGAAGGAACATAGGTAATGTGGCCAGTTGAATTAGTCCCTGAAGTATAACTGGAGGAAATGCTACTTTGAAAGTGGTAACTAGAACACATATAGGCTACGTCTACACTGGCCCCTTCTCCGGAAGAGGCATGCTAATTTCGAACTTTGGAATAGGGAAATCCGCGGGGGATTTAAATATCCCCCGCGGGATTTAAATAAACATGGCCGCCGCTTTTTTTCCGGCTTGGGGAAAAGCCAGAAAATAGTGTCTAGACTGGCGCGATCCTCCGGAATAAAGCCCTTTCCCGGAGGATCTTATTCATACTTGCAAGTAGGAATAAGAGATCCTCCGGAAAAGGGCTTTATTCCGGAGGATCGCACCAGTCTAGACGCTCTTTTCCGGCTTTTCCCCAAGCCGGAAAAAAAGCGGCGGCCATGTTTATTTAAATCCCGCGGGGGATATTTAAATCCCCCGCGGATTTCCCTATTCCAAAGTTCGAAATTAGCATGCCTCTTCCGGAGAAGGGGCCAGTGTAGACGTAGCCATAGAATTCAGAGATGAGGTCAGTAGCTGCCCACTGATACTTTGTCTTCATTATTACCATCTGGCTATCTTTTAAATTAGACCCCTTTATTTTGGAAACAAATGTCCTCTTATAGCTTTGGTCAAAATGAGTCACTGGATATTGTTGAAAAGGGGTTCTCTATTGAGCTGTGGGTACAACTTTGTCACATACCTAGTCTCCAGTAGCCAGTTGAAATGACAGGACATAAATGAAGTCATCCAACACCTACTTCAGATCTTAGCCATGCAATCTATCTAGTCCCACGCCTATTTCTAGCCTCAGAGAAATGGGAACAGACAGAGCAGCACTCTCTATTTGAATAGTTTCCTGAAAGAAGTTTATCTTAACACTCTCATTTTATTATCTCACAGACAATTCCTAATTTTTTTGTGTGGATGATAAATTCTCCTTCTCTCCCCTCCAGTCATTATCATTACCAGACATATTCTAATTTACCTAAATTAATTTGGTAGCTGTCTGCCTTTTTTCCTGCTCCCCATGGCCATATAAAAGATGAGAGATAGCTATACTGATGCCATTTTGGCTCAAGAGTCTCTGGTTCTAACCTACTTCTGGACCTTTTGGTGTGTTTGTATGTCAGCGTAAATCTGTAATTGCAAAAAGTCAGTTAGTTGTCCAGCACCAGACTGGTTAAAATGGACTCTTGGATGAAGTCATTACCATTCTCATGGAACTTATGCAAATGCACTATGAACTGTGCACCAGGCAGCAAGAATAATGGCCATATTAAACAAGTTAAACACAGCCTTAAGTTCTTCCTTGAGACTTTTAGGGTAAGTTTAGACTACAGAATAGTAATAGAAATGTAGCCGTGTCAGTCTAGTGTAGCTGAAACAAAATACAGGCAGTCCCCGGGTTACATACAAGATAGGGACTATATGTTTAAGTTGAATTTGTATGTAAGTTGGAACTGGCTCCAGATTCAGCCGCTGCTGCTGAAACTGACCAGGGGCTGACTACAGGAAGCTGGAGGCAGAATTGCTCTGCCCCCAGCTTCCTGGAATCAGCCACTGATCAGTTT